ACACACACACACACACACACACACACACACACACACACAATGTAAAAAGTAGAGAGCAATGAATGTGTGCTTACTCACTTCCTTTTTATAAAGGAAGGGTGCCTGGGTCGTCTCATCTCAGCACAGTCAGGATAATGCCCTGAGGCTGGAGAAATGGCTCAGTGGTTAAGAGTGCTTGCTGTTCTAGAACACCCGAGTTTGGCTCCCAGCATGCACGTCAGGCAGCTCACAACTGCTTGTAACTAGCTCCAGAGGCTCCAACTCGGGATTGGTACCGCACTGACCTATTAATAGGAAATACTGTACAAATTTTGCCAATTTGCCAGATCCAGTCCACTGAGAATGACATGTCAGTTTCAGACTCTAGGTGATGAGAACAATGCCAGCGTTTCATCAGAAAGCACTCGCCATGGGTCTCCGTCCGTGCTGGAAGCAGAAGTGTTGACGATCACTGAGGAAATGTCAGAGAAGAGAGTAACAACACACTGAAGGCAGAAATACGGTCCAGGATGTGGAGAAAAAGCGAAAGAATCAATCAGAATTTATGGAAATGAAGAACACTTTAATAGTTTCTTTTAAAGATTCAGTTGAAAAGTAAAAATGATTAGGCAGAAGAAAGAATTTCTAGGGTTTAGAAGAGATTTTGAAATAACTGAGTCAGATAAAAGAAACAGAACATAAATGTAAAAATCAGAGAAAACCTTTAAAACATGGGAAACATGACTACACAGGAAAGTCTGCATGTGGATGTTCCAGGAGGACACAGGCACCTACAAAACTTGCTCGATTACTAAAGGACAAATGATGGTAAATACACATTTTCCTCAATATTTATCATTTTCCAATTTAGTAAAAATTTATATTTCCTCTTCTATGAGTTGCATATTTGTACCTATCACATATGGCTTCTTTTGATAGTCTGTTATCCTTTTAGCAATTACAGAAGTTCTTTGATTATTCTGCACTCATCCTTGGATGACAATATACATTGAAAAAAATCAGAATAAAAAAAATTAATGAAAACCCTGAAATCACAAGAAAATTATGGACATTTAGTCACAGGAAGCTTTAAGAACATCTAATAAGTTGAACCAAAAAGATCAATGTCCAAAGCACATTAAAATCGTGTCTGAAGAAAAACCAGACAGAACTCTAAAACAGCAAGAGCCAGTGTGGCGGTAGGTGCTTGCTAGTCCTGTAGTTGAGAAATTAATGTGCTATCGGTGAATGCTGAAGGGATGGTTCTGCAGGCAAGGGAGATGAGAGACAGAAAGAGAGAGGGAGGGAGGGAGAGAGATTTTATAAATAAAAACAAGAAAAAAGAATTACTTATTAAACACGAATTTCAGTAAGAGTAAACTCCAACAGCAAACACCATACAGGCCAAGAGAAATTAAGATGACATATTCAGTGTGCCAAGAAGTATTTCCAAGTAACAATACCCTTCCCAGAACAGCTTTCATCAAGATAAATGAAAGTTTTCAAATATCACAAGTAAAAGCATTCATCACCCCCAGAGGGCTGACAGCAAATCCCACAGGACACTATCATCATGAAAACACAGGAAAAGACAAAACTCATGTGCAGAGTGGATGCAGAAAAGAGGAATTGAAGAGACTTGATTCCCATCTGTATAGTAAACCACCAAACATCAAAGATTTATAGGAAAGGAAGAGATAAGAAGAAATACACAGCAACAAAACCCTAGAGAACATCACTTCAGCGAGTGTTAACTGTGAATGTAGATGGATTGTATTCTCCAGTGGAAAGGTGTGCTAGGCAAGGGGTGGCTAGAGAGATGGTTCAGTGGTTAGGAACACTTAATGCTCTTGCAGAGGACCTGGGTTTCGTTCCCAGCACATACAGCAGCTTGCAGACATCTGTAACTCCAATTCCAGGGGATCCTCTTTTGGTCTCCACAAGTACTGCACACACATGGTGCACTTACATATATGCAGGCAAAACACTCATATGCATAAAATAAAAAACAAATCTTTTAAAAATTAAAAAGGTTTAAAAAGTATAGGCTGGCCGAATGGTTAAACAAGAACAGACTCAGTGATGTGCTGCCTGAAGTCATTTCACCAGTTAAAAACCCACAGAGAAAGTCAAAGACAGGAAGGTATAGCATGCTGGGCGTGGTGGCACACCTCTAATCCCAGCTCTTGGGAGGCAGAGGCAGGCAGATCTCTTCAAGTTTGAGGTCATCCTGGTCTACACATAATGAGTTCCAGGCCAGCTGGGGCTACAGGGAGACCTGTCTCAAAAAGCCCCCCATCTCCCACAAAAGGTATAGTATTCATATAAAGCTTTAAATTGACCAGAATTATATGTTAATTTCAGAAAGTAAATTTTAGGTTAAAACACATAAAAAGAAAAAAGGGTCAAGGGCTAATCAAACAAATGGACCTAGCACTTACCAGCAGTGGTAGAGTTATGCTTCTGAGGGAGGAGGGAAGGTGCCAGGAGGAAAGGCAGAACTGACATGGGGTTGACAGGCATGATGGGAAAGTGCTGAACATCCAGTGTGGGGCAGATAGAGATTTGGTTCTGGCTGCCTAGCACCGGGATTCCACAAGTTCAGATGTTTGCTGAAACAAAACTAGCAAAACCTCCACTTAAAATTGCACCCATCCACTCCTTCCTGCTCCCAAAATGCCTCCTCTAGCCCGTGTCCTAATCACAGGAATTTAGTTTCCAGCCCCTCTCCTTGAGTGAGTTTTCATTAAATGTTTAGCAGACTTGTTAAACACACATATTTAGTGTTATATCAGTGACAGATTTAATGATTTGCCACTGTGTATTTTGTTCATCTCCAAAATACCATTTTGGACTACACTCTACTGTTATCTGGAAAAATTACCTATAACCTGGCTATGTTTTGTTTTCTGTCTGTGCTTCACATTTTCTCCTTGAACCTGTATACATGGTATTTGGGATTTGCCTATGACTGTCATATGGGATTACCAAGTATCAGAAGAACTATTAGGTACTAGGGATTTGGCAGGAGTCGCAGCAGAAATTCCTAACTCAGGCTGTAATTAGGGTACCTATGTGTGCATACCATGTGTATGCATATGGGTTGGGAATGATAGGCCTCAAACTCATAATCCTGCCACTACCTCCCAAGTGCTGACTTTCTAAGCATGTACCACAATACCTTGTAAGAATTCTTATACTGATTTTAGCTACTAAATTGGTGGTTATTTCTTATGTACCAAGATAGACATAATGCTTTTTCTAACCACTTTCAAAATGAAAGTTCCCACACTGGGCATTTTATTGGCCCTACACACCACCATTCAAACTGGTGTTATAGTTTTGTGTACTGATAATATAGAGAAACACACTCATAGGGCACAGTACGGAATCAAAAGTTACATCCACGAAGATCAATGTACGATAGATCCACTTCTTTCATGCCGCCACTTGTCTTTTCAGAACATTCTAAGACAGTTCATGAACCATCTCATTATGTTGAAATGTAGAGCTGGGTCACGTGCTTAGCTTAAAAAAAAAAGATCTGAGGAAAAGATTAATCCCAGATAATTATTAGGGAGCTAAATCTCTGAATAAGTATGTAAAACTGAGAATAAATCAGAGCCAACTTTGAAAAAGCATGTGTTGTGAAGCCAAAAAACATTCTGCTGCAGCCTCCTGCCAATCTATAAGATATCTGTAGATTATAGCTTTTATCCTTATGTCTAGAGGGTATATCTTTGATTACATTCCATATCACACTTGAGGTATTTTTATCGAATTTTGGCATGTCACAGGTTTTTTAATGGAAACTCAGAGAATCCTTTAGAGAGCATTTGCCCCACCTCCTCATACCTATGCTGCTGCCCTATATAAAGTCATGAGAAAGAAGAAATTCTCCCACTTAGTGTAGGATAAAATGAATACTCTTGTTCAAACCAATTCACTCTCCAGCTGTGAACAAAGACATCTGTATTTGTGGTTTTCACTGCATATGTTAGGAAAAAAGTGTGAACCACAAGACTAAAAGTACATAATATAACACTCGAGGCTAGGAAGATGTAAAACAGACCAGAATCTCATCTATGTAAAATAGGAGTGTAAATAACATATATTACATGAAGCCATGGAGATTCTCTTCTGCTGGGTCCCATCATGGAAAACGACTGACATGGCACACTTATATGCATGAACCACACATACATGAGCGTGCTATTCAGCGCACTGTAGGCCGTTCAGCTGCATCCCTGATCTGTGCTAGTAGCCCCTCCCAAACACTACTTATGGCATCACAAATGCTCCTGGATAGAGACCAATGCACAGTGACAGGCAGCAGCATCAACATTTATTTCTTGGCGTACAGATACTGAAAAATAACGAGTACTAGATATAATATTCCTCTTCAAAAATTAATATACAGATTCCATACTGATTATTTCCCTTGGTTAAAGAGTTCTGAAATATGACTTCTGAAATTCTGTGGAAAGCTTTCACACATAAAAGGAATGTACATGTTACCGTTCGTCATGGAACATTGCTACCAGATGACGCTGACACACTCAGAATCTGAGATTTTAGCACATGACTTGTTCTTCTCCATGAAGTGGCAGGAGAATGGGAGGCGAACAAGTAGCCCTCTCTTGAACTTTCTAAAACAACAGACACCTAACAATCTCTGAAAGTGAATTAGTGGACTCAGGTGTTTTCATTGTGTCACAAATAGATCATGCACAATATATCTTTCATGAAAACTAAAATGATTTGTATAAACCTGTAGGACCACAACTTTCTCCAATGAAACATTCTTATATCACAGTGCTTTTCTATATAAGGTTTTCAAACATTTTAAAGGTTATCTGTACTTCACGCTAACTAAACATCCAGAGAGATGTTGTGAGATTTTAGGGGGCTGCAAGGTAAAATAATAAACATCACATGCATTTATATTCCAAGAAAAAGCTCAGATACATGGTTTCACAAACAGTAATGCACAGCCTAACAGGCTGAGACATACAGCGAAGACAGGAGACTGTAGAGAGCACACAAGCACTCTGCTTACAAGACTTTCATCTTAGTGAGATGAATTCCTGCCAAGTGACTTCTCACAAAGAATTTCCCACATTAATACCAGTTTTCGGGTCTTTATGTGTCACTATAAATACTTCTTCAAGATTCCCTTATATTAGGCAGCTGTCCTAATACAGGCAGTGATGACATTTCTCTCCTGTATGAGTGAAGGTTTAACACTTATGAAAGGGTTTCTAAGATACATTACACTCATATGCTTCCAACCTGAGTTTATTGATGTTTGGAAATGTTCACCTTTTAGAAGGCTTTTCCATAGGTATTACACCTCTCAGCAGTGAGAGTTCTCTGAAGTGTAGAGATTTGACTTTTATGAAAGGTTTCTCTGGTTCTGTTATACTACATTATGTGACTTCTGCCATGCACAAGGGATGGCTTGTTAGAAATATTTTTAGTGTCTGCATTCATAAGGTTTCTAAGTTCTCTGATGGATATGGAAGTTTTGTCTTCCAGTGCTTTCTGTATATAAACATTCATATTTTCTTACCTGTGTGCCTTCTTTGGTATGCAGTAAAGATGACTTATAGGTGGAATATTTTCTATTCGGAGGGCTTCTGCTGCAAATTACCTAATGACTGCTGAGATATGATATGTGGGAAAAAGTCTTTTGACATACATTACACTCAGCTGTACATGCTTTGATGGACAGTGATGATCTTACGGTTGATTTCCTACCTCTTTATGTTTACAAAGCTTCCCACTTTTCTGGTGTAGAATTAAGTGCACCTTTTGTTAGAAGAGTTCCCTTCAAATATAAAGGTGCTGTCACGTGGGTGATAGCTCTGTTGTGAGCGCCAGTTTGCCCTCTGGCAGACCTTTCCACACACATTCCACTGACATGGTTGCTCACCTCTGCAGTCTAATGAACATGAAAACATGACAAATGGCTGAAAGCTTTTTACGCTTCATATCCACAGGACTTCTCAATCAGGGGAATTCTCTGATGTGCATTTAGAAGGAAATTCCAGAGGTTTCTCCACATACATTTCACTGATAGGGCTTCTTTCTTAAGTGAGTTCGCAGATGTCTAGTAAGATGGAACTTCAGATAGTATGATTTCCCACATTCCTTACATTCATGGGGTTTCTCACCTGTGTGAACTTTTTTGTGCGCATACAGGCTTGACCTCTGCCTGTAACCTTTTCCACAAATAGTACATGCATAAGGTTTCACCCTTGTATGAGCTATCTTATGTTCAAGAAGGTGGAGATTCTGCTTAAAGGATTTTCCACAAACATCACACTCATAGGGGTTATTATCTAAGTGAGATCTCCGGTGTCTAGTAAGATGGAATTTCAGACTGTATGATTTCCCACATTCTTTACATTTATAGGGCTTCTCACCTGTGTGAATTTTCTTATGTGCATACAAGCTTGACCTCTGCCTGTAACTTTTTCCACATACAGTACATTCGTAAGGTTTCCCACTTCTGTGACTTATCTTATGTGAAAGAAGGTGCAGATTCTGCTTAAAGGTTTTCCCACATACATCACACTCATAGGGTTTCTCATCTGAGTGAGTTCTCAGATGTCTAGTAAGATGGAACTTCAGACTATAAGATTTTCCGCATTCTTTACATTCATAGGGCCTCTCACCTGTGTGGATTTTTTTGTGTGCATAGAGGTTTGGCCTCTGCCTATACTTTTTTCCACATACAGTACATTCATAAGGTTTCTCACTCGTGTGAATTCTCTTATGTGCAAGGAGATGGGGATTTTCCCTAAAGGTTTTTCCACATAGGTCACACTCATAGGGTCTCTCATTTGAGTGAGTTTTCTGATGTGCAGTGAGATATGACTTGAGAATAAATGTTTTCCTACATTCTTTACATTCATAGGGCTTCTCACTTTTGTGAATTTTCTGATGTGTATAAAGGCTTGTCCTCCGCTTAAAACTTTTTCCACATGTCATACATTCAAACAGCTTTTCACCTGTATGAGTTCGCTGATGTGCAATGAGTAATGGCTTCAGCCTGAAAGATTTTCCACATTCTTTACATTCGAAGGGTTTCTCACCTGAGTGAATTCCCTGGTGTACAGTGAGATATGACTTGACACTAAATGATTTCCTACATTCTTTACATTCATAGGGTTTCTCACCTGTGTGGATTCGCTGATGTGTGTAGAGGCTTGCCTTCCAGTTAAAACTTTTTCCACATGTATTACACACAAAGGGCTTTTCACCTGTGTGAATTCTCTGATGTGCATATAGGTTGCCTCTCTTGTAAAAGGCTTTTCCACATGTATTACATGCATAGCGTTTGTCATATGTGTGTGTTTGCTGATACAGAATGACTTTTGGCTTCTGACATTCTTTACATTCATAGAGTTTCTCACCTGTGTGACCTCTCTCATGTGAGTAGAGGTTTGGTGTCTGTTTGAAGGTTTTCCCACATGCATTACATTCATGGGCTTCCTCACATTTGGGAGGTATCTGAAGCTGATGGACGTTTGACTTATTAATGGGTTTTCTAGATAAACTGCATTCAATGGATTTCTCATCTGTATGATTCTGTTGAACACTGCAGTTTAATTTTGGGCAAACAGTTTTCCCACACACATTCCTGTCACCCCCTATATACATTCTCTGATGAATACTTTGTTTTGGTATCTGACAAATGCAATTCTCTTTATTACACGCATAGGGCTTTTCCCCTGCATGCACACTCTGATGTTTGACAAGGTCTGATTGTGTCGTAAACACTGGCTCACAATCACTACCCATGTAACTTTTGTTTTCTTTATGTGTTTCTAAATGCTGGGTGAGCATAAAGTTTAAAGAGAACAATTTCCTACATACCTTACATTCAAAAGTTTCCTCCTTTACCCGAGTCCCCTCCTGGGCAGGAAGAGTTAACTTATCTAAGCCTTTCCCATATTCCTTAAACTTGCTAGAGGGATCTCCCAAAGGAAAAGTGTTACGTGCTAATACCCTCTTCATGTAGAAGGCTTCACTCTGTCCACAACATTGAAAATGCTGTTGCCCACGTTCAATACTGTGATGCAGAGTAAGAGGCTCAGGAAGTCTGGGAAATACGCCAGTTACATTAAGAAGCTGAAGTTCCTCTATGGCCTGCACCTCACTGGGCTCACTAGGGAGAAACACATTATCCCATATGTTAAGTGCCTCAGGTCTCATTCTAGAAGAGATCCCATTTTTTACAGCCACACTTAAAACATGGTTTGAGCTACTAAGTATTTGACCTAATTTAGCCCTGTCCTCGGTTGATGTGCTGCTTTTATCCCCTGGAAGATCGCACACACGTGTCTTTGCACTGTTCTGGATGCTCTCATTCAGGTCCTTCACAGTCTGCATATCTAGAAAGAAATAAATGGAAAGGCTTCCTGTTAGACCCGTACAGATGCACATGTGGTACACTTGTCGGTTAGATCTGTACAGACACACATGTGGTACACTTGTCGGTTAGACCCGTACAGATGCATGTGTGGTACACTTGTCGGTTAGATCTGTACAGACACACGTGTGGTACACTTGTCGGTTAGACCTGTACAGACACACGTATGACACTTGTCGGTTAGACCCGTACAGATGCACGTATGGTACACTTGTCGGTCACCTAACAAGGAATGTAATTCGCAGAAATCATTGGTACCCATGTGTTCAGTGCTTACACTCTCTTGGGGAAGAGAAGCCGACAATTCCAGCACTTTTCAAATACAAATTACCTTCCTCAAAATATACAAATACAGGTTCTTGACATTCCTAATTTAATATGAATTAACTATAAAACGCCAAATCTGCACTCAAGGATTTGGTTCTGCAAATCAAGCTGTGTAGTATGTAATGTAGGGTTTCTGTGTATGTCTGACACCGACAACTTGGGCATTACCCACCTGTGCAGGCACATGTACCCTGACTTATAAAATCATGTTTCCCCATGGTTTATTTGTGCTCTGAGCTTTAATTATGTTAAATTTTCATAAGAGATGGTAGTTTCCTATACAAATTTATTATATCTATAGGGTAATTTCTACAAAGAGAAAGAAGGCTAAATAATTATTATAGTCGCTCACAAAATATCAGTCTTTGAACAAAATATCTATGGTTCATTTGATCATCATAGCAAAGATCTCCTGAAGTAATACCTAGCCCCAGATCTTCTCTACCCACGAGTCTATGCACGTGTTCCTCAGTTTCACAGATTTTCATATGCATGACTTGACAGGGCATCTTTTCTTATTTTCTTATCAATCCCTGGTTGACAGGCTAAAGAAGTATGTTTTCATTATTAGCTAAAGCTACTAATAACAAAACTGGATTCTCCAATGAAATAATAACCACTCTAAATCTAGAATTCACATCAATCTATGTAGCACATGACAAATTTAGAAAACAATGGCTTTGAAATCAAAAGAAAGGAAACTAATAATCCTAAAGCTTCAAGCTCTGTAGATTTTTCCTATTCTTTTATTGAAGCAAGAAAATATTTTGTGTTTTTGTCTTACTCTGTCAATTCCAAAAATTCTGCTTATCAACATTGTAGAATTCATGAACTATTTCTTGGGTTATTATTTTTGTTCTATAATGACAGACAAATGTCTATGAGGGAGAAAATAATAAATGATAAATGAACCCAAAAGGAAAGTAGAACCAAAGAGCAAAGTCGTCAGAATATTTCTTTAAGGGTTCAAGGGGTTACACTTCCAGACATTAGGCTTAAGTCCACATAAAAAGTTATTTAGACCATTATTTCTCATTGATGATTTTGTTCCTAACCAGAAAATGCTGCTCAGATGTAAGACTTCAAATCTTGGTCTCCAATACTGTAGTGCCCACCTGTAGCTAAGGGAGACAACCAGCTAT